GCACCAGTTTTATAGTTAGGCTCCTTATTGTCTTCGCTACATAGATAGTCTAGAGCCAGTCACTCATGGCTTATGCCTGCAATCTTAGCTACTTAGGAGGCTGAGATCCTCAGATCTCAGTTAGAAGCCAGCCTAGGCAGGAAAGTCCATGAGATTTTTATTTCCAGTTAATCACCACAAAGCCAGAAGTGGAGGTGTGACTCAAGTGATAAAGTGTTATTAGCCTTAAGCAAAAAAAGCTAAAGGACATTTATACTCATGGAATGTACATAAATAAAATATCCATACATATAATGACTTAGATTGTTAAACATAGAACATGAATCAAGCTAAGAGATTACTCAGAAGAAGAAGCAGGGAGAATGAAAAAAGAAAGAGGGTAAATAACAGTAACACATTGCAGGTATATATGAGAGCAGCACAGAGAAACGCAGCAAAGCTGATAATCAGTAGGGGAACGAGAGGAAAAGAAATAGACTCTGTGGGCCAGTAGGGTCTAGGAAAAGGATGTGTGCCTGGGAAAAGAATGAAAACTGAGAGGACTGGGAATATGGTTTAGTGGTAGAGTGCTTGCACACCATGCCCGAAGTCCTGGGTTTGATTCCTCAGTACCACATAAACAGAAAATGCTGGAAGTGTCGCTGTGGTTCAAGTGGTAGAGTGCTAGACTTGGGCAAATAAACTCAAAGACAGTGCCCAGGTGCTAAGTTCAAGCCCCAGGGCTGACCAAAAAAAATAAATAAAGAAGATGACAACTGAGACTAGTGTTGGTGGCTCACACCTGTAGTCCTGCCTGCCTGCTCAGGAGGTAGAGATGGAAGCATTGAGACTCAAAACCAGCAGGTGTGGCCGGGCACCAGTGGCTCACGCCTGTAATCCTAGCTACTCAGGAGGCTGAGATCTGAGGATCACGGTGCAAAGCCAGCCCGGGCAAGAGAGTCTGTGAAACTCTTATCTCCAATAAACCACCAGAAAACAGGAAGTGGTGCTGTAGCTCAAGTGGTAGAGTGCTAGCCTTGAGCTGAAGAGCTGAGAAACAGCACTCAGGCCCAAAGTTCAAGCCCCACGACCGACCAAAAAAAAAAAGCCAGCATGTGCAGGAAAGTCCCAGAGACTCTTATCTCCAAATAAGCATCAAAAGGCCAGAAGTGGGGGCTAGGAAGGTGGCTCAGTGGTAGAGTGCTTGCCTCACATGCATGCATGAGTCCCTGAGTTCGATTCCACATAAGCAGAAAAAGCCAGAAGTGGTGCTGTGCTCAAGTGGTAGAACACTAGCCTTGAGCTGAAGAGATGAGGGACAGCGCCCAGGCCAAGAGTTCAGGCCCCACAGATGACAAAAAAGAAAAAAAAAAGCCAGCAGAAGTAGAGATGAGGCTGAAGTGGTAGAGCACCAGTCTTGAAAGTTAAAGGACAAAGCCCACATCCTGAATTCAAGCCCCAGTACTGGTTAAAAAAAAAGATTGAATACTGTCAAAATGGACTATCTACAACAATGAAAACAGAGCAAAAAAACCTGTTGGTGATGCTATTTCTTAGAAAGGGAAAGGAAGTGGTATGGAGGAATGTAAGCCAAAAAAAAAAAAAAATCCTAAAAGGCTAAGGGGTGGCTGAAGTGATGGAGCATTTCTAACATACATTAAAACATACACACAGTCGGGCCCCACTGGCTCACGCCTGTAATCCTAGCTACTCAGGAAGCTGAAATCGGAGGATTGCGGTTCAAAGCCAGCACAGGCAGAAAGTCCATGAGACTCTTCCAACTAACCACCAAAAAACCAGAAGTGGTACTGTAGCTCAAGTAGTAGAGCTCTCACCTTGAGCTGAAGAGCTGAGGGACAGTGCCCAGGCCCAGAGTTCAAATCCCATGACTGACCAAAAAACAACAACAAAAGACCCCATACCCATAAATTCTCTGAAACCCAACTAATTCTGCTAACTGCCTCATCATCTTCAAGGATAAAATAGTTTGTCTTGTCTATTCTCTGGAATCATTATTTATTTGGAACATGTTCTCTTGTGAAAACTCCTCCCCTTTTTTGGGGTGGTCAGTTCTGGGGCTTAAACTCAGAGCCTGGTTGCTGTCCCTGAGCTTTGGTGCTCAAAGCTTGAGCTCTAACACTTGATCCACAGCTCCACGTCTGGCTTTTTGGTGGTTAACTGGTGCTTAGAGTCACATGTATTTTCCTGACCCAGCTGGCTTGTAACCATCATCATATCTCAGCCTCCTGAGTAGCTAGGATTACAGGCCTGAACTACTGGCAACCACTGTGAACTCATTATATATATATATATATATATATATATATATATATATACACATACATACATATGCACACACACATACATATATGTATATATGTATATATATGCACATACATACATATATGTATATATATTTGAACTCAGGGCTTCATATACACTAGGCAAGCACTCTGCCACTAAGCCATATTCCCCGCAGCATGCATGAAGCCCTGGGTTCGATTCCTCAGTACCACATACACAGAAAAAGCCGGAAGTGGAACAGTGGCTCAGGTGCTAGTGTGCTAGCCTTGAGCAAAAGAAGCTCAGGGACAGTGCCCAGGCCCTGAGTTCAAGCCCCAGGACTGGCAAAAAAAAAAAAAAAGTGAATTCTCCTGAGTCTTGTGACAGCAAGATGGATGAAACTCTCAGACATCATCTGAAATCTTGTTCTTGAGGTTCTTTAGTTTTCTCTAAATGTAATAGACCACCTTATACCCTATTGTTTTGTTTTTTGTCAGTCATGTGGCTTCAACTCTGGGCCTGGGCGCTGTCCCTCAGCTCTTCAGCTCAAGGCTAGCACTCTACCACTTGAGCCTCAGTGCCACTTCTGGTTTGGGGGTGGTTAATTGGAGAAAAGAGCCTCACGAACTTTCCTGCGGGTGCTGGCTTTGAACCGCAATCCTCGGATCTCAGCCTCCTGTGTAGTTAGGATTACCGGCGAGAGCCACCAAGGCTCACTCTATTTTTTTTTTTTTAATTTTATTTATTTTTTATTGTGAAAATACTGTACAGAGGGGTTACAATTAGATGGGCAAGATAATGAGTACATTTCTTATCAAGCATTGTAGCCTCCTGCTTTGTTTCCTCTTCCCATCCCTTCCCAGCCTCCCCCCCCCAAAGTTGTAAAGTTCGTTTTAGACATGACAACTTGTTATCACCCTATTTTTCTAACCTTTTGTAGTTATACCATGTTACCAGTAGAGGGAGATAGTTCCCTACATTTTCTGAACCTTAACAAAAGGAATTGGGCATTCCTGGGATTGAATTTTTTTTTTTTTCTTTTTTTTTTTTTGGGTCTGGTCAGTCGTGGGGCCTGAACTCTGGGCCTGGGCGCTGTCCCTCAGCTCTTCAGCTCAAGGCTAGCGCTCTACCACTTGAGCCATAGCACCACTTCCAGCTTTTTTCTTTTTGCTTATGTGGTGCTGAGGAATCAAACCCAGGGCCTCAGGCATGCAAGGCAAGCACTCTACCACTGAGCCAACATCCCAGCCCCTGAATTTTTTTTTCTTTTTTTTTCCTTGAGATTGAGTTCCAAAGGAGACCAAAAAGATCTAAATCTTGGTACTCATTTGAAGATGCTGCAAAGGAAATAGCTTTTCATTAAATAGGCAGCCAGAAGGTCAGCACTATTAATCATAGAGACCTTTTGGAGATCTTGGTCAAATGTTTTCCTCTTTTTGGTCTGTTTATGCACCTGTGGAATGATAGGACCAACAGAATTCTAAAATTGAGAATGTCTTAAAGTTTTATCCTTTGAAAGTTCAAAAAGTTGGCACAGTCAAGACTGGTGACATGGCCCAAATGGTAGTGTGTTTGCTAAGGCAAGCATGAGGCCCTGAATTCAAACTCCAGTACCAGCTCATTCACCCCTCCTCCCAAATAAGAACAACAAACTGTGGGCAGTTATAACATTGGGTACTAGTAGAGAGTCTAACGTGTGCACTTTGGTTTCTTGTGAAGTATGTCTGAGAGACGGTTCATGTTTGTCTTGTATATTAGGTACTTCCACTTAAAATGCAGGCACTTCTGGCACTTACCACAGAAATACCCGTGCTAAGCTCACAAAAAAAAATGCCCATCAGATGCACAAGAGGAGGATATGTAGTTAGTCGTGTGGAACTCTGTGTGTGTGTCTGTCAGTCTGTCCTGGGGCTTGAATTTAGGGCTTGGGTGGTGTCCCTTAACCTTTTTTTTTTTTTTTTGTCGGTCATTGGGCCTGAACTCTGGGCCTGGGAGCTGTCCCTCAGCTCTTCAGCTCAAGGAAAGTGTTCTGCTGCACCACTTCCCATTTTCTAGTGGTTTATTGAAGAGTCTCACGGACTTTCCTGCGGGTTGGCTTTGAACCGCGATCCTCAGCGCTCAGCCTCCTGAGTAGCTAGGATTACAGGCGTGAGCCACCGGCGCCCGGCTCCCTTCACCTTTTTGCTCAAGGCTAGCGCTCTACTGCTTGAACCACAGCCCCACTTCCGGCGTTTTGGTGGCTAATTGGAGATAAAGAGTTTCACAGCCTTTTCGGCCGAGGGTGGCTTCGAACCGCGATCCACAGATCTGAGTCTCTTGAGTAGCCAGATTACAGGCGAGAGTCACCAGTCCGGTGTTCAGAGGTGTCACTTGCACAATTCAAGCAATGCAATCTAACGCGACCCCCATTCCTCCCCTCCCTGCACCCCCCCCCCCCACATCCAAGGGCGCGCCCTCCTCTGTGCTCACGGGGCGGCCAGAGGTGTAAGTGAGTGAGCTCACTTCCTGGCTGAAATGTCTGGTTCAGGCTCACTCTAGGGAGGGGGTGGGGGGGCCGCTCAGGTCCGTGCAAGCCGAGCCTGGGCGCAGGTTCGCGGCGGCCCTTCTCAACATGGCGCCGCCCAGCGGCCGCCCCGCGCCGTCCCGCCGCGCTGACGTGAGTGCGCGCGCGTCGCCTCCGCGCCGTGCTCCAGCGCATGCGCATCCCGGGCTGTCTTCCTCCGGCCAGAGCAGCGGCGGCGGCGGCGGCGGCGGCAGAGGCGGCGTTTGAGTGGAGGAAGATGGCGGCTCCTGGTGGCCCGGGGTCCCGCCAGCTGTGAGGGTTGTCCCCCCCATCCCGAGCACGTCGAGCGCGGTGTGAGGCCAGGTGCCTCTGCTCGGGTCCCGTCGCCGGTTCTCGCGTCACCGTCGCCAGCGAGGCGAGCCCGAGGGCGTGGAGCGGGCGGGCAGGTGAGGCCTCTCCCCCTCGGGCGGGCGGGAGCGGCGCCTCCGGCCCTTTATGCCCCCGGGGGCGGGGGGGGGTGCCGGGAGACGGGCGCTGGCCCTGCGTGGTGCGCGGGGCGGGGGTCGTCCTGCGGGTTCGCGGGACCTGTGGTCGTCATCCTCGGTTCCCCTGGGTGAGGCTGGGGAGGGGGTGGGACCGATGCGGACCTGTCCCCGTGTCCTCGGAGAGCGGCTCGCGTCCCCTCGGCCGAGCCACGAAGTGGGGGCGGGGGGGGGTGCGGCCAGGGCACGGATGGCTTTAGGGGTGTCCCATAGTCTCACCCCGCCCCCCCCCGCAAAGCCTTAACTCTTTAGGAGAAGAGCCGGGAGAAGGGTGGTCGCCGGCATTGGGGGTGCGGTGCGGGGGGCGGGGGGCGGAACAGCCTCTCCCAAGGGCTGGATTTGGAACTGGATTACCCGAGAAAAGAGATAAAAATACCTTGAGAAATACGGAGCCTGGCGCTTTCCGAGACGTGGGCACTGCGGGTCTCCTCCGCTTGGAGATAGCCGTCTTCGTCGTCAGTCTTCCCGGAAAGGTGAGGGTGGGTTCGGGCCCCCGCGCCGCGGTGGAGGGGGTGGGAACCAGCGTGTGAATGGAGAAAACACAACCGCAGAACCTGGATAGTCTCCGGCCGAGTAACTTGGACGCTCACGGACTTCGCCTTGAGGAAGCTTCCGAATACACTGACGGCTTTGTCTGTGGAGTGTCCGGGCTTGTAGGGGAAGAACAGCTTCATTTCTTAATTGCCCAAGCCTTAGGACTTTTCTGTGGTGGGATTCCCGATCGTTCTAGGGGAAGATCAGATACGTGGCCAATTTTCACTTCCTGGCAGTGATATGGGCTGTGCTTGTCGCTCATTTCTGAGCACAACTTTTCTGTAGCAGATGTTCTAGGGCTAATTGGGAGACTGATGTAGGTTTCTCTCAGGAAAGATGATCTGATTCTTGAAGAAGGGTGGAATTGTGCTTTTGCTCAGAAACACCAAATATCTTTTTGTAAGGAATTGATTTTGCTTGTGCTTAAGAATGATGACATCATGTATTTAAAGGGACAAAGAAAATTTGAGAAGAGATCTCATTATTTAGAATTCAGTCTGTAGGTTTTACATTGAAGAGTGATGTGTGACTGTATCCTAACTTGTTCATATGATCAGTTCTGGCATTTTTCTGTGGTGTGTGATGATTTTTGTGTTTTTCACTGTTTACTTATCCGACGCAAATACGTTAAGCAGTCTACACTGTGCATGGGTGTGTTATGCTAAGCCAGCATCAGTGGCTCATTGAGTGGCTGTAATCCTAGCTACTCATGAGGCTGAGATCTTAGAATCCCAGTTCAAAGCCAGCCTAGGCAGGAAAGTCCAGGAGACTCATCTCCAGTTAACCATCAAAAAGCCAAAAGAGGAGTGTTGCCCAAGTGGTAGGGCACCAACTAAGGGACAATGCCCAGGCTCTGAGTTCAAACAACAGTACTGGTGAAATAAATGAAAAAAAAAAAGGTTTTAATGACAACTATTAAGTTAAATGGCAACTATTTCACTTAATATTAACTAGTTCTATGGCCATTTTTACTTTCCTATTAAGTCAGATTAAATTTATTAAATAGAAATTTTAGTGCCTTGGCTGAAGAGGTAAACTTGAACCAACAGTAGTGAATCAGAGAGGTAGTCTCTTTCTCTCTCTCTTTTTTTTTTTTGGTCGGTCGCGGGGCTTGAACTCTGGGCCTGGGTGCTGTCCCTGTGCTTTTCAGCCCAACGTGAGCCCTCTACTGCTTGAGCCACAGCGCCACTTCCGGTTTTCTAGTGGTTTATTGGAGGTAAGAGTCTCCTGGACTTTTTCCTGCTTAGGTGGGCTTTGAACCTGATCCTCAAATCTCAGCCTCCTGAGTAGCTAGGTGTGAGCTACCAGCGCCAGGCTTGGAGAGCTATTCTCTATATTAACTTGCTAATAAAGGGTCATGAGCCCAGTGCCTTTGGCTCATGCCTGAAATCCTAGCTACTCAAGAGGTGCAGATCTGAGGATCATAGTTTGAAGCCAGCCTCAACAGCAGAATCTGTGAAATTCTTTATCTCCAGTTAACCACCCAAAAAGCCAAAGTGGAGCTGTGGCTCAAGTGGTAGAGTGCTAGCCTTGAGCAAAAACAACTTAGGGATAACACTCAGAACTTGAGTTCAAGCATCCCCTCAAAAAAAAAAAGAATAGGTTAACTATCTATTTTTTATGTTTTCATAAATTGACAATTTTTTTTTGTCGGTCATGGGTCTTGAACTCAGGGCCTGAATGCTGTCCCTGACCTCTTTTGCTCAAGGCTACCACTTTGAACCACAACTCCACTTACGGTTTTCTGGTGGTTAATTGGAGATTAATATCTCATGGACTTTCCTGCCTGGGCTGGCTTTGAACTTCGATCCTCAGATCTGAGCTTCCTGAGTAGCTAGGATTGCAGGCCTGAGCTACCAGTACCCGCTTGACAACTCTTTATAAAAACTGAAAGCCATTTGGTTCAATGATGATATTAATGTTTGTGAAGGGGCTTTGTAGATGTAAAATAAAAGGTAAACATGAGGTTGACTATTTTTAGCCTGTGCAGTATTTTTATTTTCTTTTTTGGTACTGGAGATAGAACCCAGGATGTTGCACTTGCTAGGCAAGTGCTTTGCCATTGAGCTATATCTTAGCCCTGTGCAGTATGTTTTGAAGGGCCCGCTGTTTGAAGTATTATGGGAAGGAGATACTGGGGTAAGCCAATTTCATTCTGAAGGTGCCCCGGGTTGGGAGCCAGACAAGGCAACCACTATGCCTGTTGTAGTATAAGAAGGTCACTGAATCCAACCAGGGAAGTCAAGGAGGTCTTCTTGCTGAGAGTGCTCTCCAGCCTGCTTGCCTGCCTGCCTGCCTGCCTGCCTGCCTTCCTGCCTTCCTTCCTTCCTTCCTTCCTTCCTTCCTTCCTTCTTTCCTTCCTTCCTTCCTTCCTTCCTTCCTTCCTTCCTTCCTTTCTCTCTTTCTCCCTCCCTCTCTCCCTTCCTTCCTTCTTTCTTTCTTTTTTGTCGTCAGTCATGGGTCTTGAACTCTGGGCCTGGGTGCTATCCCTGTGCTCTTCAACTCAAGGCGAGCCCTCCACCACTTGAGCCACAGCGTCACTTCCCCCAGCCTTTCTTATTCTGCAGATAGTCTGCCTTTTGTGACTGATTTGCTTTTTGTTGTTGTTGTTGGTTCTGGGGCTTGAACTCAGGGCCTGGGCTCTGTTCCTGAGGTTGTTTTATGTTGTTGTTGTTTTTTTGCTCAAGGCTAGTGCTCTTACCAGTGGAGTCATAGCTCCACTTCCTTTCAGGGTTGTTGTTTTTTTTTTTAATAGTTTGAATAGAGATTTGAGTCTGACTCTCCTGCCCAGGCTGGCTTCAAAACATGATCCTCAAATCTCAGCCCTCTGAATAGCTAGGATTACAGGCGAGAGCCACCAGCCCCTGGTGAGTGACTTGCTTTTTATAGAAAATTTAATTTTTTTTTTAAAATTTAACCCAGGATGGTTTTGAACTCTGGGTATGCCTACATCAGTCTCTTTAGTGGGAATGCACCCAGTCCAGGGGTATACCACTATAACTCGCTTATAAAAACTAAAAAAACATTGTCACGAAATGGGTGATTCACGCCTGCAATCCTAGCCACTCAAGAGACTGAGGTCTGGAGGATCTAAGTTTAAAGCCAACCTAGGCAGAAGTCTGTGAGACTCCATTTCCAATTAATCAGCAAAAATCTGGGCTAGAGATGTGGCTCAAATGGTAGAACATCAGCCAAACAAGCCTGAGTTTAAATCCTACCACCACACACACACAACAATTGTCGCCGGGCGACAGTGGCTCACGCCTGTAATCCTAGCTACTCAGGAGGCTGAGATCTGAGGATTGTGGGTCAAAGCCAGCCAGGGCAGGAAAGTCCATGAGACTCTTATCTCCAATAAACCACTAGAAAACCAGAAGTGGCGCTGTGGTTCAAGCGGTAGAGCGCTTGCCTTGAGCTGAAGAGTGCAGGGACAGCGCCCAAGCCCAGAGTTCAAGCCCCCCCCCAAAAAAGTAAACAATTGTCATGAGTTTCTTTCCGTCTTCCTTTGTGTGTGGGGTGTGAGTGCTAGCCAGTTCTGAGACTTGAACTCAGGGCCTGGTGCTGTCTTTTAGCTTTTTCACTCAAGGCCAAAGCCCTGCCTCCACTTCTGGCTTTTTGCTGGTTAATTGGAGGTAAGAGTTTCATAGATTTTCCTGCCCAGACTGACTTTCAGCTGTGGTCCTCAGATCTCAGTCTATTGAGTAGCTAAGATTGCAGGCATGAGTCGCCAGCTCCCAGCTTTCTTTCCCCTTTTATTCATTTATTCACTGTCATGACACTTCTCTTCCCACATTGCAGGCTCCAGTGATGATTTCTGCATTCTCAGACATCCAGCAGTCTTAGTCATAGATACAGGCAACAAATACAAACATTGCTACTGTAATTAAAGTTGCTTAGATTACTAGGTGGTGACAACTAGTGGTGCTTTTTATTCTTTCTAATGTGGACTAGCATGAGAAAAACTGGTATTTGATCCAGAGCCTTACACTTGTAGGCAAGTGCTTTACTATTGAGTGTATCATACCCAGCCTAGCCCCTAGGGTTTTTGTTTGTTTCGTTTGTTTGTGCCCATCTCAGGTCTTGAACTAAGGGCCTGGGTGCTGTCCCTGATCTTTTGTGCTCAAAGTTAACACTCTACCACTTGAACCACAGCTCCACTTCTAGCTTTTTGATGGTTAATTAGAAATAAGAGTCTCCACTGGGCACTGGTGGGTCACACCTGTAAATCTTAACTATGCAGGAAGTTGAAATCAGAGGATGGAGGTTTGAAGCCAGCCTGGGCAGAAAAGTCTGTGAGACTTTTATTTCCAATTGAATTGCGCTGTGGCTCAAATGGTAGAGTACGGCTAGCCTTGAGCACAAAAACTCAAGGACAGTGCCCTAAGTTCAAGCCCCTGAACCAGTACACACACACACGCACGCACGCACGCACGCACGCACGCACGCACGCACGCACGCACACACACACACACACACACAGCCTTTTCTTGGTTTGGAGTTATGATCCTCAGATCTTGGCCTCCTGAGTTCAAGCCCCTGAACCAGTACACACACACACACACACACACACACACACACACACACACACACACACACACACACACACACACACACACACACACACACACACACACACACACACACACACACACACACACACACAGCCTTTTCTTGGTTTGGAGTTATGATCCTCAGATCTTGGCCTCCTGAGCAGTAGCTAGGTAGTAAAACCACCAGGACCCAGGATTCCAGGTTTTGTTTTGTTTTTAAGTAGTAATATAATAAAAAAAATGTGGTAAGTCTTAAACAATAATTATTATGTTAAAGGTTGTTGTCTAGTTCTTTCTGGAGAACACCTAGGGTAGGTTCATTTGTTATTTCTTTTCCTTAAGGATACATAGTTGTAAACTATGGCTTGTTAATTGAAGATAAGAGTCTCACAGACTTGGCTGCCCCTACTGGCTTCAAACTTCGTTCTTCCCAGTCTCATCCTCCTGAGTAGCTAGGATTACAAGGGTGATCTATCAGTGTCCAGCTTTGTCAGTGTTTAATTCAGACATATTCTTAGAAGTAAAATCATGTGCTTGGTGCTGGTGGCTCACACCTGTAATACTAGCTAATCAGGAGGATAAGACCTGAGGATTACGGATCCAAGCCAATAAAGGACAGGTTGGAAGCAAACCAAGGGCAGGAAAGTCCATGAAAAACCTGGAAGTGGTGCTGTGGCTCAAGTGGTAGAGTGCTAGCCTTGAGCACAGTGATGCTCAGGGATAGTTCCCAGGCCAAGTTCAAGCCCCAGGACCAGCAAAAAATAAAATCAAATCATGGATCATTTGACATGTATATTTAAAATGCTGACAGATGAAACTCAAGATTTTAGCACTTATGGGTGGAATTAAGCAGATGTACAAGGAGAAATATTTGATTCTGCTTACTTGAGATAGTCAAATTTATAGAGACAAATGATGGCTAGGAGCTGGGGTGAGGGAAGAATGGGAAGTTAATGGCTGATGAGTGTAGAGTTGGGATGATAAAAATTCTGTAATTGGGGCTGGGAAGGTGGCTCAGTGGTAGAGCGCTTGCCTTGCATGCCTGAGGCCCTGGGTTCGATTCCTCAGCCCCACATAAGCAAAAAGAAAAAAGCCGGAAGTGGCGCTGTGACTCAAGTGGTAGAGCTCTAGCCTTGAGCTGAAGAGCTGAGGGACAGCGCTCAGGCCCAGAGTTCAGATCCCATGACTGGACCAAAAAAAAAAAAATTCTGTAATTGATACCCATAATAGTTATGGGTGATGCACTTAAGGCCACTAAACTATAACTTAAAAGTAGTTAAAGCCAGGTGCTGGTGGCTCACACTTGTAATCTTAGTGACTCAGGAGACTGAGATCTGAGGATCACTGTTCAATGCCAGTCTGAGCAGGAAAGTTCCTGAGACTCTTATCTTCTGTTAACTACCAGGAAAGCTGGATATGGAGCTGTGGCTCAAGAGGTAGATGACTAGCCTTGAGGAAAAAAGGTCAGGGACAGTACTCAAGCTCTGAGTTCAAGCACCAGGACCAGCACACACCCACACAAAAAGTAATTAAGGTGTTTTATTTTAATTAATTAATTTTATACTGGTACTGAGGATTGAGTTCAGGGCCCGGGCCTCAGCATTTTTACTTATGTCTGGTCTTTTACCATTTGAGAGGTAAATTGAAGAGGAAGGAGTGAGGGAGTCAGGGACCAGGCTATCCTCTCTGGCAGTCGTTAGGAAAGGTATGGACGATGTAGAGCAGCTGTGGAGGAAATTGGAAGGAAGAGTGAATGTGAGAGAAATTAGATAGCTAATTAGTTGTAGGAAGAAAATAGGATATATAATTTCCATGTTTTTTTTTTTTTTGTCGGTCGTGGGGCTTGAACTCTGGGCCTGGGCGCTGTCCCTCAGCTCTTCAGCTCAAGGCGAGCGCTCTACCACTTGAGCTACAGCGCCACTTCCGGTTTTCTGGTGGTTTATTGGAGATAGGAGTCTCACGGTCTCTCCTGCCCGGGCTGGCTTTGAACCGCGATCCTCAGATCTCAGCCTCCTGAGTAGCTAGGATTACAGGCGTGAGCCACCAGCGCCCGGCTTATAATTTCCATGTTTTGAGTGAGAAAAATAGGAATATAAGCTCTGATGCAGGAAGTCCGCAGTATGAATTTGTTATCAGGTGTCCAGAGGGAAATGGAAATAAGAAAATGATGGAATGAGGTTTAGAGAATCAAGCTTAGAGGTGGATTTTGGCTCTGTGTATCCATCCATCCAACCATCCATCTGAGCAAATATTTAAATGATTCTGTACTGGTGGCCAGACATTACATGACCATATCAGTCCCTAGCCTCATAGATATCATAATCTAGTGCTCAAAGGTAACATTTGAGACTATACACTTGATTAAAGAGAAAATGTAGCTGGGCTCCAGTGGCTCACGCCTGTAATACTAGGTACTAAGGAAGCTGAAATCTGAGGATCAGGTTTCAAAGCCAGCCCGGGGAAGGAATGTCCACAAGACTCTTCTCTCCAATAAACCACCAGAAAACCAGAAATGGCACTGTGGCTCAAGTGGTGGAGGGCTCGCCTTGAGCTGAAGAGCTCAGGAACAACACCCAGGTCCAGAGTTCAAGCCCCAGGACCAACAAAAAAAATAGAAAGCAAGGCAGGAAGGAAGGCAAAAGGATAGAATCTTAGGGGTCACCTCCACATTTAGGAAAGGAGAAAAGAAACCAGACGAGGCTTCAGATAACCAGAGGACTAGTACAGACTAAGCAGGATATATAATCATCAAAAATTAAGCAGAGAAGTTGGAGGCATGGTTCAGGTGGTAGAATGCCAGCCAGTGAGCTGAAGTGAGTTTGACTCTGACCTCATACAAAAATAAATAAAAAAATAAATGAAAATTAAGCAGGGTCTGGTGGCTCATGCTGGTCGCCCCAGCTACTTGGAAGGTTGAGATTGGAGGATAGTGACCCAAGGCTGCTCCATGCAGAAGTATTGTGAGACCTGTACCTCAACTGGCTTACGAAAAAAGACCTTATCTAAAAGTAACTGCTTATAGACAATAATCTTCTGGTTGATGGCAGTAGTCTTGTGATGGTTGACAGTAATCTTCTGGTTGTTGGAATAGTCTTTGGATGGTTGCCAGTAATCTTGTGGTTGAAGACAATAGTCTTGGTTGTAGACAGTAGTTTTCTGGTTGTTGTCAGTTTTCTGGTGTTAGACAATAGTCTGTTGTCAGTAGCCTTCTAGTTTTAGGCAGGTGAAATCAGTTTTACAATGGGTAGAATAGTGTCTTTTAACAGCCACATAAGGAAGCACATGCAGCAGCACTTGAGAGGCTAAAGCAGAATGATCATCAGTTAGATGCGAGCCTGGGCTACATTCTTATAAAGATGATGCAAAGATCCTCCACTTGTACACATTGTTCTTTACATTTGTGGATGTTTGTGTTGAAAAGATGCTTGATAATTACCTTGCTCAGTTAACCCCCTATCTCTAATTGGAACACTTTAAAATCATTAAATATTACCAAATGCAGCATATGTTTTTAACTTTTGCTTCCTCTGTTTGCATTCTGTCAGTGCATTGACAGAAGTACGTGTATAGGATATGAAAAGTTGAATAAAATGAATAGAATCCAGAAATTATTTTAGTTTTTTATGAGAAAAGCATTTCATGATGAAGAACTGATTATACAAAGTAAAATGCATTAAATTAATAAACATATTCCTTTTATTGAAACAGATCTGCAGTGGACGAGTGAACCAGAAAGATGCCCTCCTTAAAACTGAAGCCATGAAATGGTGATTGTTTTAGTCATTTTTAACCCAGGGGAAGGTTTTTACTCCCTTCTTCCCTCCTTTCCTCCCTCCCTCCCTCCCTCCCTCCCTCCCTTCCTTCCTTCCTTCCTTCCTTCCCTTTTTTTTTTGGTCTGGGACTGGGACTCAAACTTGGTATTTGTTGCTTTCAATCATTGGCTGGCACTCTACTACTTGAGCCATACCTCCTACATCCCTCCTTGTTTGTGTGTGTGTGTGTGTGTTTTGGCCTGGGGCTTGAACTCAGGGCCTAGACACTATCCCTAAGCTTTTATGTTCAAGGCTGGTGTTCTACCACTTGAGCCATAACTCTACTTCTGGCTATTTTGTGGTTAATTGGAGATGAGACTTTCATAGACTTTCTTGCTCAGACTGGCTTTGAACCATGAATCTCAGATCTCAGCCTTATTGGCATCAGCCACCAGGGCCTGTCCAGATTATATGTCTTATTTTTAATTGTGGATTTCATTTTTTTCAACAAAGTAAATAGCAAAATGTAATATAACATAATTATTCCCAAAAATACGACTTCAAGTTGTTTTTTTTTTTTGTCGGTCGTGGGGCTTGAACTCTGGGCCTGGGCGCTGTCCCTCAGCTCTTCAGCTCAAGGCGAGCGCTCTACCACTTGAGCTATAGCGCCACTTCCGGTTTTCTGGTGGTTTATTGGAGATAGGAGTCTCACGGTCTCTCCTGCCCGGGCTGGCTTTGAACCGCGATTCTCAGATCTCAGCCTCCTGAGTAGCTAGGATTACAGGCGTGAGCCACCAGCGCCTGGCACGACTTCAAGTTTTTATTGTCTTGGAGCATATATTTGTATAATTCCTTGGTGCTGGGGATTGAACCCTGTTTAGTTGCCTTGGGCTTACTAAACAGGCGCTCACCCACCAAATTCCATCTCTAGTTCTTCCAAATAAGGTATCATCCTTTCTTAGATATTGTGATTTTCCAATTTGTTTGGGTTTTTGCAATGCTGAGTATTTAACTCAAAGTTTCAAATGTACTAATAAATAAGCTCATCTTCTACCATTGAGCTACAACCCTAGTCCTTGTTCAGGTTTGGTTTGGTTTAGATTTTTTTTTTTTTTTTTTTTATTGTGAGTAGGTCTTTGTTACCTGGGCTAGCCTCAAACCTGCTATCTTCTTACCACTCTCTTGAGTGCTGGGATTATAGGTATAAAATACCAAACTTTGCCCTATGTTAAGGTTTGTTTTTTATGTTTTTCTTTTGGTACTGGGATTTGAGCTAAGGGCCTCTTGATATTAATCAGATATTCTACCACTTTTGTTGCTAGTGCTCTACCTCTTGAGCCACAGCTCCACATCTGGCTTTTTAGTGGCTAATTGGAGATAAGAGTCTCATGGACTTTCCTGCCTGGGCTAGCTTCAAACCAGGATCCTCAGATCTCAGCTTTTTGAGTAGCTATGATTACAGGTGTGAACCACTGGTACCGACTTTTGAATGTTCTTTTATTAAACTATGGTGGTAGTAGATGGTAGAGCTTTGTGTATAGTTGGCTTTTTTTTCTCCACTTTATTTTTTCACTTGTTTAGAAAAATAAAATTCTACTCTGTGTCAGTTCCCTCATCCCATTGCAATTTACTGTTCAATAAAATTCAGCAGTCTGGGGGGCTGGGAAGGTGGCTCAGTGGTAGAGCGCTTGCCTTGCATGCCTGAGGCCCTGGGTTCAATTCCTCAGCACCACATAAGCAAAAAGAAAAAAGCCAGAAGTGGCGCTGTGGCTCAAGTGGTAGAGCGCTAGCCTTGAGCTGAAGAGCTGAGGGACAGTGCCCCGGCCCAGAGTTCAGGCCCCATGACTGGACCCCCCCAAAAAAAGAAAAAAAAATTCAGTAGTCTGGGGACCTTTTTTTTGGGGTTAGTCGTGGGCCTTGAACTCTGGGCCTGGCCTTCAGCTCTTCAGCTCAAGGTGAGAGCTCTACCACTTGAACCATAGCTCCACTTTTGGTTTTCTGGTGGTTGGAGATAAGAGTCTCACAGACTTTCCTGCCCCAGCTGGCTTTGAATTGCCATCCTCAGATCTCAGTCTCCTGAGTAGCTAGGATTATAGGCGTGAACCACTGGCACCCAGTATGTGCTTGCTTGTTTGTTTTGTTTTTGTTTTGCCAGTCCTAGGGCTTGAACTCAAGGCCTGGGCAGTGTCCCTGGGCTTTTTTTGCTCAAGGCTGGCACTCTAACATTTGAACCACACCACCATCTCTGGCCCTTTCTGTTTATGTGGTGCTGAGGAATCAAACCCAGGGCTTCATGCATGCTAGGCAAGCACTCTACCACTAAGCCACATTTCCCGCCCATGGGGACCATTTTGATAAAGCTTTTCCGTCAGATATTTAGGAATTAAGATTTGAGTTGTCTGTTTTACTTCAAAGTTTGTTTATGAAGCTGTACTTCTTTATCATTTAGCAAGTTTACTTTGTGCTTAAACTATTCTGACTATTCTTTGTCAAGAAATAGTTGTTTTTGTTTTATTGACAGTAATGGGGATTGAACCCTGGGCCTGTGTGTGCTAGATCTGCCACCAAGCTACATCCTTGGTCCCAGGGAACAGTATCATTTTCAGTTGTGCCTTAATGGGAAAACAAGGGAAGGCAGGCATACAATTGCAGCTCAGTAACTTACTATGCAGGCAAGAGTTTGCTGTCAAGTGAGTGAAAGGGAGAAATAAGGTGTGCTTGAATTAATGGTTTCCATACTTGAACAATTCTGAATGTACTGTGGTTATTTGCATTTTTTTCCTTGCAATTTTCTTTTTTTTAATCATTAACTTTTTATTACACAGTAAAGAGGTAATTACAACGATATTTGTATCCTCTTGTTCTACATTTGTTTTTGAATGTCATTCACTTCAGCTTTAACTAACATAAACATTCAAAGAAAAGGACTGTTCTTTTTCACTCTAAGATGTTAACTCAAGAAAGAAGCACTTCTTTCATATTTTCAATTATTCAGTTGTTATAATTCTGTTTCTTTAGTAAATAGTCATTGTTTTGGATTTATTATATGTGGAAATGGATTTCTTAAATTTAATTTAGTTTTTATTGTAAGGGTGATGAACAGGGGAGTTATAGTACATAAGTAAGGTACTGAGTTCTTTCCTTCCTTCCTTCCTTCCTTCCCCCCTCTCTCTTTCTTTCTCTCTTTCTTTCCTTCTCTCCTCTCTACCTCCCTCCCTCCCTCCCTCCCTCCCTCCCTCCCTCCCTCCCCCCTCTTTCTTCCTTCCTTCCTTCCTTCCTTCCTTCCTTCCTTCCTTCCTTCCTTCCTTCCTTCCTTCCTTCCTTTCTTTCTTTCTTTCTTTCTTTCTTTCTTTCGTCATGGACCTTGAACTCTGGGCCTGGCGCTCTACTACTTGAGCCACAGGGCCACTTCCAGTTTTCTGGTAGTTAATTGGAGATGAGTCTAATGGACTCTCCTGCCTGGGCTGGCTTTGAACTGGATCCTCAGATCTCAGCCTCCTGAGTAGCTAGGATTACAGGCGTGAACCACCAGTGCCTGGCAGAGTACATTTCTTTTTAAACACTGTAACCCCTCCTCATTCTCTCCCACTTACCACTACTCCCCTCCCCCACATCTGCATGTTTCTTAAGTGAATTTTTTCTTTTTAAGTAATTGTTTTCAAGAGGGAAAAAAAATCATGGCATATCCTTGCCCAGAAAAAAGACACTTTGTAGCTGGACATGGTGATACATGCCTGTAATCCTAACACTGGGGAAGCTGAACCAGAAAAATACTAAGTTCAAGGTCATCCTGAGTTATGTAGTGAGACCTTGTCTTTAGAAGAAAAAGGGGAAAAAAAAAATAAGACTTAATAAGCACAGCAGGGAAGAAGATGTCAGCCTTCTTCTGTTGGAACCTTGGCTTTGCACACAGGCTTCAGTAGACCTTGCATGTACAGTGCCACTTGTTACTCAATGGGAGATGTCACAGAAGTCTTTTTTTTTTTTTTTGCTAGTCTTGGGACTTGAACTCAAGGCCTGGGCACTGTTCTTGAGCACTACTTCCAGCTTTTTCTGTTGATGTGGCACTGAGGAATTGGACCCAGGGCTCCATGCATGCTAGGCAAACTCTACACTAAGCCACATTCCCAGCCCTACAAGTTTACTTTACCCCCTGCACTGCTGGAATTCTTGTTCTTATCATTCTCTGTATTATTACCATGGCAAATTATCCTTTCTGAAATCCTCTTATATGTATGTATTTTTTTTAAAAAAAAAAAAAGGAAAAAGCTGGATGCTGGCCGCTCATACCTATAATCCTAGGTACGCTGGAAGCTAAGATTTGGGGATTGCAATTTGAAGCCAGCCTGGATGGAAACGTCAATGAGACTCTTTATCTCCAAAAAGCCAGTAGTGGAGATGTGGCTCAAATGGCAGAATACCCTTAGCAGAAAAAGCAAGCAAAGCCTTGCACTGGTGGCTCACGCCCGTAATCCTAGCTACTCAGGAGGCTGAGATCTGAGGATACCGGTTCAAAGCCAGCCCAGGCAGGAAACTCCATGAGACTCTTTTTTTTGGGTCCGGTCGTGGGGTCTAAACTCTGGGCCTGGGTGCTGTCCCTCAGTTCTTCAGCTCAAGGCTAGCGCTCTACCACTTGAGCCATAGTACCACTTCCGGCTTTTTTTTTTCTGCTTATGTGGTGCTGAGGAATCGAACCCAGGGCTTCATGCATGCAAGGCAAGCGCTCTACCACTGAGCCACCTTCTCAGTCTCTCCATGAGACTCTTATCTCCAATAAACCACCAGAAAACTGGAAGTGGTGCTGTAGCTCAAGTGGTAGAGCTCTCACCTTGAACTGAAGAGCTGAGGGACAGTGCCCAGGCCCAGAGTTCAGGCCCCACGACCGGACCCAAAAAAAAACAACCAAAAAAACCCATATAATTTATTGCTTTACTAAAGTTCCATACTGTTTCACTTTGTCCATTTAAGTTTCCCCTTCATAAATGGAAGGTTTAATAGCTGTGGGATGTAAATACTTTCAAATAGGATTGAAACCAAGTGCATGTCCAGACCAGGCAAAGAGCCACACTGAAGAGCTGAGGGACAGTGCCCAGGCCCAGAGTTCAGGCCCCATGACCGGACCCCCCCCCCCCCAAAAAAAAAAAAAAAAAGTCTCATGAACTTTTCTGCTCGGACTGGCTTGGAACCAGGATCCTCAGATCTCAGCCTCTTGAGTAGCTAGGATTATAGGCATGAGCCACCAGTGCCAGCTAGAACTTTGTATTTCTTTTTATTGGTCAGTCGTGGGGGCTTGGGCACTGTTCTTGTGCTCTTCAGCTCAAGGCTAGCACTCTACCATTTGAGCCACAGTACCACTTCCAGCTTTTTTCTTACATGGTGCTGAGGAATCAAACCCAGGGCCTCAGTCATGCAAGGCAAGCACTCTACCACTGAGCCACCTTCCCAGCCCAACGCTTGACTGTATTTTTAAATGCTTTGTTTCCTTTTAACTGAACTAAGCATATTTCAACTTTAATAAAGATGTGTTTTTTTCCAATTAGTTGACAGATACCTAGTTGTATAGAAAACAAATGCACAAATCAGGTATGGTACTAAAATTCCTCAATGGCTTTTATGTACATAATTTTATTGCCATGCTGGAATTCCTTTTGTGTGTGTGCTATTACTGGTGTTTGAACTTAGGTCTTGTGCTCTCACTTGGTTTATCTGCTCAAGGCTGGCACTCTCCCACTTGAGCAAGACCTCTACTTCCTCCACCTTTTTGTAGTCAATTGGAGATTAGAGTATCATGGACTTTTCTGCCTCGGCTGACTTTGAATATTGATCTTCAGATCACAACCTCCTGAGTAGCTAGAATAACAGGAGTAAATCACCAGCACTGGGCTTGTTGTGACATTGCCATATATACACATATGTACTGCCATCATACTCAACTTGCGCTTTTTTTTTTTTTGTTGGTCGTGGAGCCTGAACTCTGGGCCTGGGTGCTGTCCCTCAGCTCTTCAGCTCACGGCTAGCGCTCTTCTTGAGCACTAGGCTCTACTTGAGCCACAACGCCACTTCTGGCTTTTTCTGCTTATGTGGTGCTGAGGAATCGAACCCAGGGCCTCATGCATGCGAGGCAAGCACTCTACCACTAAGACACTTTCCCAGCCCCCACTTGCTCTTTCTTCTTCCTCTCCCAACCCATTTTTTCTTTTTTCTTCCAGAAGTAGGACTTGAAATCAGGTCCTCACAACCTTGCTTGGCTTATTACTCATAGCTGGTACTCTACCATTTGAATCATGCCTTTAGTCCAACATTTTGCTGGTTGTTTTAGAGAAGGAGACTTGAAGACTTTTTTTTACCCAGGCTAGCTTCAAATCTTGATTCTCCAGGTCTCAGCCTCTTGAGTAGCTAGTACGTATAAGGTATAAGTCATCAGTGCTGGTGCGAGGGCATGCGCGCGCGTGCGTGCGTGCGTGCGTGCGTGTGTGTGTGTGTGTGATTCTAAGGGTTGACTGAGGGCCTCATACTTGGTTGAAAGATAACACTGAGTTACCAGTGCTGGCTCTCGTGTGTGTGTGTGTGTGTGTGTGTGTGTGTGTGTGTGTGTGTGTGTGTGTGTGTGTGTGTGTGTGTGTGATTCTAAGGGTTAACTCAGGGCCTCATAATTGGTTGAAAGATAACACTGAGTTACACCTCTAGTCCTTTTTGCATTGGTTATTTTCGAGGTAGGGTATTGTTTTATGCTGTCTGGCCTAGGCTGTGATAGTTTGTTTTTCTGTTTGTTTTTTTTGTCAGTCAGTTTGTTTTTTTTGAACTCTGGGCCTGGGCACTGTCCCTAAGATCTTCAGCTCAAGGTGAGTGCTCTACTGCTTGAGCCACAATGCCACTTCTTGTTTTCTGGTGGTTTATTGGAGATAAGAGTCTCACAGACTTTCCTGCCCAGGCTAGCTTTGAACTGCGATCATCCTCAGATCTCAGCCTCCTGAGTAGCGAGGATTCCAGGAGTAAGCCACCGGTGCCCAGCTTGGGCTGTGATAGTTCTAATCTATTTGTGCTGCCCTATGTTGCTAGGGAAGACAGTTGTGCAACTGGCATTGTGTCATTGATGCCCCCCTGGCCCTTCTCCCCACTACCCCTGCAGCTAGGATTAAAGGCACCTTTGCACCTAACCATTAGTCTAGATGGAATCTTGGGTTGTCCTCAAACACGTTCCCCTGAGTTCCATCTCCCAAGTAGCTAGGATTACAGGCTTGAGCTACTTGTCCAGCTTTAAAACATTTTTGTTTTGTTTTTTTTTCGGTTGTGGGGCCTGAACTCTGGGCCTGGGCACTGTCCCTCAGCTCTTCAGCCCAAGGCTAATACTCTACCATTTGAGCCACAGTGCCACTTCCGGCTTTTCTATTTTTGCTTATGTGGTGCTGAGGAATGGAATCCAGGGCCTCAGGCATGCAAGGCAAGCGCTCTACCACTGAGCCACCTTCCCAGCCCAGCTTTAAGACGTTTTTTAGCATGTATTCTATAAAGGGATTTCATCATGGCAGTTCACACATGCAGATATAGTTTAGGCAGATTAACCTCATCTAGTGCTCTCTTTCCCTGTCTCTTATTCTCTTACTCAGTTACCTTCAGTGAGTTTCTTTGTTCTAGGAAGATTTTTTTTAAAGTTTTATGAAAACCACTGATTGAGTTAATATACTACAAATGAAATGTTTTGTAGGGCTTCTGTTTGGCATGAAAACAAAACTCAGAGCTTCAAAATGCCTCTGTGTCCTTAGGGACTGTGAGTGATGATTTCATTACTCATGGAAGTGAAAATGAAGTGCCATGTAAATTGGTACAGAGCATGTTATTACCAAGAAATTGTATCTGAGCCCACTCCTGTGTGTTTCTGGCATCAGTGTCCAGGACTAAGCTTGCAAACATGCCCTTGGGAACAGGTCTGGTGTTTTTGCAGACAGTAAGATGGGTATTGCAACAATGCAGATGCCTTTGTTGAGCTTGCTAATTGTACTTTTAGAAGATTTGGAAAGGGAGTAAGTTGTTTTATTGAATCAAACAGATTTATTCTGCTTGGGGGAAGTAGTAATATAAATTGTCTTCCATAGTCTGTATTATATCTGTGTGTGCGTGTGTGTGTGTGTGTGTGTGTATGTGTGTGTGTGTGTGCACCCATGTATTCTATGTACCAGTCCTGGGGATTGAATTTAGAGCCTGGACACACTGGCCCTTTTTTGCTTATAGGTAACACTCTACCATTTGAGCCACAGCCCCCCTTCTGGCTTTTTGTTGGTTAGTTGGTGGTTAGTAGACTTTGCTGCCCTTGATGGCTTTGAATCATGATCCTCAGATCTCATCCTCCTGAGTAGCTAGGATGCCAGTTCCCATCTTTCTGATATTTTCTATTGCAAATATACTTTATGCTTGATATTTTAGCCAATTAGGCCTATTCTTAGAACATTTATCATTCAGCAAATTGTCTTGCATTAAAGCTAGAAGAACTTTTTGGTGCTAGCTCAAATCAGGATCTTAAGAATGCTAGGCAGGTGCTAGCTATCTCTTGAGCTACATTGCCAGTACAAAACTGATATTTATTTTTTTTCCTTTTTTTTTTTTTTGTCAGTTCTAGGGCTTGAACTCAAGACTTGGGTACTGTCCCTGAGCTCTTTTTGCTCAAGGGTGTGAACCGCAGTACTACTTCCGGCTTCCTAGAGATTAGTTGGAGATACGAGTCTCATAGACTTTCTTGCCACTTTGAACTGTGATCCTTAGATCTTAGCCTCCGGAGTAGGTAGGATTATAGGTGTGAGCCACCAGTGCCTGTATCCTATTTTTTTAAAATAAGGTCTTGCTGTGTAGGCCAGGCTGATCTCAAATTGTTGGTTCTCTTGCCTCAACCCAAATTCTGAGATGATAGGTGTGAGCTATTGTACCAGTTTAAGATTGCAATCATTTTTTAATTCCTATCCACACAATGTTCTAGTTCTCTTTGCAGGATCCAGAGTTAGTTTTCTTCCTAAGTTTGAAGTCTTAGATCATTGTTACTGGCCAAAGGAGGCTACCTTAATCCATTTGTCATCTGTCAGGCTTATAGTTGTAAGAATGATGGGAGAAGAGTTTTCAGTTTTACAGTTATACCAGAACTTGGATACCAGTTGTTGTTGTTTTTGGTGGGCTTATTGAAGCTTGAACTCAGGACCTGGGTCCTCATTTTGCTCAAGGCTAGCGCTCTACCACTTTGAGCCACGGAGTCATTCCCATTTCTGGTAGTTAATTGGAGATAAGAGTCACAGGTTTTCCTGCCCAGGCTGACTTTGAACTGAGATTCTCAGATTTCAGCCTCTGAGTAGTAAGGATTAGAGGCGTGAGTCACCAATGCCCAGCTTCATTCTAGTTTTTAGTGGAGAGAAAAAAAAAAAGTATCATGAAAAGCCTTAGTTAAGCTGGGTACCAGTGGCGCACACCTATAATCCTAGCTACTCAGGAGGCTGAGATCTGAGAATCACGGTTCAAAGCCAGCCCAGGTAACAAAGTTGGTTAGACTCTTTTCTCTAATTACCTACCAGAAAACTGGAAGTAGTGCTGTGGCTCAAGTGGTAGAACATTTGCCTTGAGCTGAAGAGCTCACGGTCAGCGCCCAGGCCCAGAGTTCAAGCCCTACAACTGGCCAAAAAAAAAAGCCTCTGTTTGACAGGTTGGTGTTTGATTGCTACCTGTGACATTAAGATGGCTCCCAACTAGTGTGGGAGAGTTCTGGAAAAATTTCCTACCAAGTGTGGGAAGGGATTTTTTTGTTTGCTGAGTCTTCTCTGAGTTTCTGACAGTCATATACTGGTGTTGTTGTTTACCTGTAGCTGTGGAGTGGGATGTCATGGCCAGCTCCTCGGACAGTGAAGATGACAGTTTTATGGCTGTGGACCAAGAAGAAACTGTGCTGGAAGGGACAATGGAGCAAGATGAGGACCCACAGCCTGAACTGGAGGTTGAAGAGGCTAGACACAATAGGTCCATGTCTGAGTTACCAGAAGAGGTTTTGGAGTACATCTTGTCCTTCCTCTCACCATATCAGGAGCACAAAACTGCTGCTCTTGTCTGTAAACAGTGGTACCGACTTATCAAAGGTATTGTGAAAATAGAAGTTCTTTTAGGTTTTTTTTTCCCTGTCTCTCTCTCTCTCTCTCTCTCTCTCTCTCTCTTTCTCTCTCTGTCTCTCTTTGTTGGTCATGAGGCTCGTACTCTGGGCTTGGGTGCTGTCTGTCCCTTTACTTTTCAGCTCAAGGTGAGCTCTCTACCACTTGAACCACAGCGCCACTTGTGGTTTTCTGGTTTACTCGGAGATAAGAGTCTCAGGACTTTCCTGCCCAAGCCTGCTTTGAATCGTGATCCTCAGAACTCAACCTCCTGAGTAGCTAGGATTACAGGCGTGAGCCACCAGCGCTCGACTCTTTTAGTTTTTGTTGAGTGATTCATTTTTAAACTCCCTATTTCCTTTTCTTTGCCCTTAAATATACTGCAGTCATGAAAATTTAGTAGGTAACATGTTTTTCTTCTCTTCTTACTTTAATGTTTGTTTACTATTCATTATTTAGTGCCAGTCTTGGGTCTTAAACTCAGGGTCTCTAAGCTTTTTTGCTTAAGTCTAGCTCTCTAACCACTTAAGCCACAATTCCACTTCTAGCTTTTGTTGGTTAATTGGAATTAAGAGTCTGATAGGCTTTCCTGCCTTGACTAGCTTTTAACTGCAATCCCCAGATTTCATTCTCCTGAGTAGCTAAGATTAATCAAGCAAGAGGCACCTGTGCCTGACAGAAAGCTTACTTTTTAAAAACCTTTTCTTAGGCAGAAATTCATCATCTTAGAATGTTATAAGCTAATTTACCATGTCCTTGCTTAATGCTTGGTTACTATGGTCTAACAATGGATATTTGTTGTGGGGCTTCAACTCTGGGCCTGGGCACTGTCCCTGAGTTCTTCAGCTCAAAGTGAGCACTCTGTATCACTTGAGCCACAGTGCCACTTCCAGTTTTCTGGTGGTTGATTGGAGATAAGATTCTCACAGACTTTCCTGCCCAGGCTGGCTTTGAACCATGATTCTCAGATCTCAGCATCCTGAGTAGCTAGGATTATAGGCATGAGCCACCAGCACATGGCTTAAGTAGATGTCTTATTACATACACTGTTTCATTATATTTGTCACAAAACTTGGAAGTAAAAATGTTGGTTATCTTGATGGTATAACTTAAAGGGGACCAGAGTTATAATGTGAATTAATTTGAGCAAGTTACCTAACCTCAGTAAAATGAAGGGATTGTATCTTCCAGTTTTGAAATTCTATGATTCTGATTTGAAAATATAATTCTGAAATTTTGGACTTCTATGACTGAATAAAAATGAAATGAAATTAGACTTCCTCAAAAAAATTTATGAAGTAGTGAAAAGACAGTTCAGATAATTTTATCTACAAGCTACATGTCCAGGCTAAGGCATTTGTTCCTTTTGTCTTTAGGTGTAGCGCACCAGTGTTACCATGGCTTCATGAAGGCTGTCCAGGAGGGGAACATTCAGTGGGAGAGCCGAACCTACCCTTATCCTGGGACCCCCATCACTCAGCGGTTCTCACACAGTAAGTATTTGCCGTGAGAAAAAAATCCCTGTTATGCCCAGGTTTCTAGAAATGATTTGGATTAATTAATCTTGTCCTGCTTTTTAATGCAGAGAATATAAAATGGGAATTTATATTAAGTTTATAATCAGAATTATGAAAAAGTAAGCCTAAGCCTCTTGTAAGGGCTTGGATGTAGATCACTGAAAGAACTCTGGCCTAGGTGGGACCCTGCATTCAAGATCAGAAATGACAAAAATAAATAGCTGATGCTTTGTGAATAGTTTTTTTTTTTTTTTGGGTTCGGTTGTGGGGCTTGAACTCTGGGCTTGGGTGCTGTCCCTGCATTCTTCAGCTCAGAGAGAGTGCTCTACCGCTTGAGCCACAGCACCACTTCCAGTTTTCTAGTGGTTTATTAGAGATAAGAGTCTCACAGACTTTCCTGCCCAGGTTGGCTTTGAACCGTGATCTTCAGATCTCAGCCTTCTGAGTAGCTAGGATTTTAGGCATGAGCCACCAGTGCCCAGCTTTGTGAATAATTTGATGTTTGGCTTTCTCTGCATTCCAGAGAATTCAAGGTGTTCTGCTTAGAATTTTAAACATGTAACATCATGTGAGGGGAAACAGGAATAGCCATGGCTTGGTACTAAATCTTTTTGTTGTTGTTGTTGTCGGTTGTGGGGCTTGAACTCTAGGCCTGGACACGTCCCTGGGCTCTTCAACCTCAAGGCTAGCACTCTACCACTTGAGCCACAGTGCCACTTCCAGTTTTCTGGTGGTTAATTGGAGATAAGAATCTCAGAGCTGGGGCTGGGAAGGTGGCTTAGTGGCAGAGCACTTGCCTTGCATGCATGAGGCCCTGGGTTTGATTCCTCAGCACCACATAAGCAAAAAGAAAAAAGCCGGAAGTGATGCTGTGGCTCAAGTGGTAGAGCGCTAGCCTTGAGCTGAAGAGCTGAGGGACAGCGTCTAAGCCCAGAGTTCAGGCCCCACAACCCGACCCCCCCCCCCAAAAAAAAAAAAGAATCTCAGAACTTTCATGCTAGGGCTGGCTTCGAACCATGATCCTCAGATCTCAGCCTCTTGAGTAGCTAGGATTACAGGCATGAGCCACTGGTACCCGGTGGTGCACACTGGTGCCACTAAATCTTAAGATCACTATTTTAACATAGTATTTTATACTTCATGAACACAGAATTTGACTGGAGTTACAAAAAGTTTGAATGTGAAGGGTACTGATTATAAAACAAGTTTTCATAATAAAATTAAAAAGAAAACATTCTAAACGGGACTCTGGTGGTTCATACCTGTAATCCTCGCTACTCAGGAGTCTGAGATCTAAGGATCCCAATTCCAATCCAGTCCTGGCAAGAAAATCTGAGACTCTTATCTCCAATAAAACTACTCAGAAAAAACCAGAAGGAGCACTGCGGTTCAAGTGGTAGAGTTCTAGCCTTGAGCACAAAGAGAGTCAAGGTCAGTGCACAGGCCTGGAGTTCAAGCCCTTGGACCAGCAGAAAAAAAAAGAATGAAAGAAAAGAAAATGTTTTAATAAGTTTACATAATTCAAATCTTTTAATCGACAATTAACTTACTTATTTTGGGCAGTACTGTGGTTTGAACTCAGACCTTACATTTCCTAAGCAGGCATTCTATCTCTTGAGCCATACCCCTAGCTCTTTAAGTCTTTATTTTCTAGACAATGTCCTAGTCCACTAGTGATTCATTTCCTTCCATCAAAAGTGAGAAGTGGGCTGTGTGCTGGTAGCTTACGCCTGTAATCCTAGCTACTCAGGAGGCTGAGATCTGAGGATCACGATTCAAAGCCAGCATGGGCATGAAAGTCCTGAGACTCTTATCTCCAATTAACCACCTGAAAACTGGAAGTGGAGCTGTGACTCAAGTGGTAGAGTGCTAGCCTTGAGCTGAAGAGCTCAGGGATAGCACCCAGGCACAGAGTTCAAGACCCACGACTAACCAAAAAAAAAAAAATGAGAAGTGTATGGTGTATCTTAAACAGGTGTGATGTTAGTGGTTGTTCATAAAGAAAGCTCAATACATTACTTATCTCAGAGTTTTTGAGGGTCAGATATTTGGGAGTGGCTTATCAGGGAATTCTGGCTCAGAGTGTTTTGTGAGGCTACCATCAATCTTTTGGCCATGGTCATGGTAACCTGAAGGCTTAACTAGGGACAGGGAACTGCTTCCAAGTTTTTTAAAGTAGCTATTGACAGGAGGTCACAATTATTTACTACATAGACTTCTCCATAGAGTTGCTCAAACGTGACAGCTAAAGGTTCCCACAGAACAAATGATCTGAAAGAGACAGACACCTATATGGTATCTTTTGCAGTGTAATCTCAGAAGCAAGTACATCTCTTTTCTGTTCTCTTAGTCATACTGGCTTGAACAGGGATATAAATAACAAGATGAGAATCATAAAGGATCATCTTAGCAGTTAATTACCCTATATGTTTTACTCTTCTATATTCAGATGTTCAATAAATATAACTCATTGTTTTTGAATTGGATCTAAATAGGTTGAAGAAACAGGCCAAGATATTGCCGTGTTTTTTAGTTCTCTCAAAGAGCTATTTTTACTTGTGCTGTTGTAGAGTGCCTAGAGCAGTGAATCTCCAAGTGTGATTCCTGGACCTCTGGGGACAAGGGCACTCATGAAACGTCACTGTTCTAAACTGTGAGTGCTTGGCAGTGAAGAACACTGTGATTACAAGAACAGTAAATGTCAACAACAATAGTGCACAGCAAAGAAGTGTGCAGTACAGGCTTTTCTAGATAGAAGAAGCCTGGGACAGAAAAGCAGGCAAAGGGGCTGGTAATGTGGCTGGCTTAGTGGTAGAGAGCTTGCCTAAGCATGCATGAAGCCCTGGGTTACATTGCCTATACTATATATACAGGAAAATCTAGAAGTGAGTCTGTGGCTCAAGTGGTACAGTGCTAGTCTTGAGCAAAAAAAGCTCAGGGACAGTGCCTAGGCCCTGAGTTCATGCCCCAGGACTGACCAAAAAAAAAAAAAAAAAAAAAGCAGGCAAAACCAGGCACCAGTGGCTCACTCCTGCAATCCTAGCTCTTCAAGAGGCTGAGATCTGAGGATGGAGGTTTGAAGCCAGCTACAGCAGGAAAGTCTATTGAGACTCTTATCTCCAATTAACCACTGAACAGTCCAAAGGTACAGCTATGGCTCAAGTGGTACAGTGATAGCCTTGAGGTAAAAATCTCAGGGACAGTGCCAGGTCCCAAATTCAAGTCCTGGACTGGCACACACACACACATACAAAACAGGGCAGAGCCAGGTGCCAGTGGCTCACACCTGTAATCCTAGCTACTCAGGAAGCTGAGATCTCAGTATCATGGTTTGAAGCTAGCCTGTGCAGAAAATTTCATGGGACTCTTTCCAATTAAAACTACTCAGGAAGAGCTGGAAGTGGTGCTGTGTCTCAAATGGTAGAGTGCTAGCCTTGAGCACAAAGAGGCTTAGGGACAATGCTTACGCCCTGAGTTCAAGTCCAGGACTGCCAAAAAAAAAAAAAGCTGGTGATGTGAAAAGGTAATTTCTCCTAATTTTTGGTGAATTTGTATTGCTAATCATGTGAGCCTTGATTGACATGGAATATCCTTTTCAGGTTTATTGAGTCCCCAGCATCATACTTGGGAAAGCTTTTTAGTATTTGTTCTTCTAATATGGTCAGGGAGTTCCACATATTGCCAGTCCTATTCCTGCAGGAGCCAACAGGCCTAGACTGGATAACCATTCTTGACTGTTCCTGAGTTACGTAATAAGACTTTATCAAATATGTTCTGGCTTGTAAAAGTGAAATGCAGGACAGCATATTCTCTTTAGCATGGGATAAATGCCTCAGGCCCTTTCCCTGGAGACAAGTGGGTAAACAAAAGAGTATTTAACATCTGCAAGTAAAAAAGTTGCAATGTAACATTTGCTCTAAGAGCCTATAGGGAATACTCCATGTACCATGAAAATGGAAATTATTCAAAGACATTGCATTTGAACTGCTTGTAGTGCAGTAGAAAATTATTTTGAAGCCAGGCACCAGTGGCTCACACCTATAACCCTAGCTACTCAGGAGGCTGAGATCTGAGGATCATGGTTCAAAGCCAGCCTAGGCAGGAAAGGCTATGAGACTCTTTTTTAAAAAAAAAATATATTTTTTTATTGTGAAAATACTGTACAGAGGGGTTACAATTACATGGGTAAGATAATGAGCACATTTCTTATTGTAGCCTCCTCCTTTGTTTCTCCTTCCCATTCCTTCGTATCCTCCCTCCCCCACTAAAGTTGTAAAGTTTGTTTTTCGACATAACGACTTGTACATCTCATTGTTGCAATGGGTCCTCCTGTATCCCCATTTTAACAATTTGTTTCTTCCCTTCCCTTCCACATATACCAACATCATACAGGCTTTGAGACTCTTATCTCTAATAAACCACTAGAAAACCAGAAGTGGCACTGTGGCTCACGCAGTAGAGCTCTTGCCTTGAGCTGAAGAGTGCAGAGACAGTGCCCAAGCCCAGAGTTCAAGCCCCACAACTGACAAAAACAAACAAAAATTATTTTGAAGCCAGTGCTAGTAGCTCACGCTTGTAATCCTAGCCAGTCTAGGCAAGAAGGTCCTGGAGACTGATTGCCATTACTAAAAAAAAACAAAACAAAACAAAACAAAAAACCTGGAAGTAGAGCTGTGGTTCAAGTGATAAAGTGCAAGCCTTGAGCAAAAAAAAGCTCAAGGACAGCATGCAGGCCCTGAGTTCAAGCCTTAGGATTGGCACAAAAAGAATAAAGGGAAAAATAGAGAAGTATTTTGAATTATGAAGAATTATCTTGATGTGATATAATTAATCATGAATATTGACTTGTCTTTGAATAGGGATTGTTAAATAGTAATTTGAGATATATATCTTGTAATAATTCATGGAACAATTAAACCCTACTTCAACTGGAATCTCTAGTCCTAATATTTCTTACATAGGGTTGGTATTTGTAC